ATATCGATTAATCAATGAAATCAGCGATGATGGCTGGAGCGCCGATAATTGTCCGGCAAGTTTACGAATACAACGCGATTGCAGAATTCGAGCTAATCGAGCAGTGCCTCCCCTTCTTCCCTTTGGCCGCCTTTGACACCGAGTTCCCTGGCACCATCTACCACCCACCAGACGACGCCGTCCCCGGCCACCTCCTCCCCCCCGCCGCCTTCTACTCCCTAATGAAGAAAAACGTGGACGCCCTGAACCTGATCCAGATCGGCCTCACCCTCTCCGACGCCGCCGGCAACCTCCCCTCCTTCGGCACCCACTACCGCTCCATCTGGCAGTTCAATTTATGCGACTTCGACCGCCACTTGCACCCCCACAACCCCAAATCCATATCCCTCCTCCAGCGCCAGGGCATCGATTTCGACACGAACAGACTCGCCGGCATCCACTCCATCGACTTTGGCCGCCTCTTCTGGGCCTCGGGCCTCGGCGACAGGTCATTCGGGCCCGTGTCCTGGATTACCTTCCACGGGCCCTACGATTTGGGCTTCCTCGTGAAGGCCCTGTCCGGGGGGCAGAGTCTGCCGGAAAACTTGAACGGGTTCTTGCACCTGGTGAGCACGTCGTTGGGGAGTCGCGTGTATGACGTGAAGAGCATGATTGGGTCGTTTGGGCTGCACGGCGGGCTCGAAAGGGTGGCCAAGAGCCTCAATTTGGGCCGGGCTGCTGGGAAGAGCCACCAGGCGGGGTCGGACAGCCTGCTGACGATGCATGTGTTTCTGGAGCTGAGGAGAAGGTTGTTGGAGGATGATGATGTTGATGATGATGATGATGATGAGAAAGGGATGAATATTAAATGGTTGAACCATTCTGTTTATGGTCTCGGCCATAGTGGCTTGACTTCTTCATCTTCTTTTTGTAGACTTATGTTGGAATCTGTATAATTTGTTTGAAATTTGAATCACATTTGAAAAAGTGTATTGGATCGAAATTTGACAACTTGATGTCTATTATCCCGAGGTTATACATGTTTAGATCCCATTGCTCATGAGTTATGTGGTTATGGATACTTATAAATGTTTTCGGGATTGCATTGCTCAAGAGTTGTTATATGGATGCTAACATTAGAGAGAACGAGAATTTCAATGAATTGCCAGTTGAGTTTGTTGACCGAGTTTTGTAGGCTTGGGGTAAAAAGTGGATATCAAGGAGAAGTTTGTGATTGTGATGCTAGAGGTTGCCCAATCAAACGTATATGCATTAGTATTCTTTTATGGGAGGATTGTCAGGCAGCCCGAATGATTCATGTTTCTGGGGGAGTCTTCTGGGACCATTCCAGATGGACTTGATATAGACCCATGGACATATAATGAGAAACTCCAAGATCGGGATGGAGAGTCTTGACAATGTGCGATGAAAACTAAAATGGAGTCAATAGATTCCAATCAGGTCTAGGATCTTGTTGAGCCATCGAGTGGCATTCGCGTCATTGGATATATAGTTCACGGTTCCGTCTACACCCTAGCTCAACTAGCCTAACTAATTGTGATATCATGATTCACTATCTTCTGAAATTACTAACCTTAGATAGCAACACATTATGCTACCCAAATTTTTCCTTACATTTTAATTTAACCGCTAGACACTCTACGATTAAATTTGACTTCTTGTACAGTCTATAACACGCTCTCTAGATTTAATACAATAGCCGCTTTAGTTCTAGAAAAATAGGCTAGACTAAGTAGTGAATCCAACCGCGTGGTGCACTTAAATAAGTCGTGCTATCCCCCGTAGTTACCAGCTTCCGGTTGCTACTTACGAATTAAACTCAACAACAATTACGGATTGCAAGTCCAATTCTAGCATTATAATGAAATATTCTGTCTAGGTGATCAATCTAAATAAAATCAAACACATCATTGTTGATTAATCAAAATAACACAAACAATTTCATTAGAAATAGTAAAATAATCAATCACCGTAATTAATTAAACATAGTCGGGATGAAAGATTGATTATTTGAAGGCTCAGTTGAATCAAGAATTTAAAATGAAAGAATTATGGAAAGCCAAGAAAATACTTGGGAAGGAGATAAGCTGGGACAGAATGAGAGGCAAGCTTTATTTGACTCAGAAGCAATATCTGAATAAGGTACTGCAGCGTTTCGGCATAAAAGATGAGACGAAGCATGTAAGTACACCACTTTACCCTCATATTAAGTTAAGTGCTCAATTATCGCCAAACTATGATGAAGAACGAGAGTACATGGCTAGATTTCCATATGCAAATGTTGTTGGCAGTTTGATGCATGCGATGGTGTGTACAAGGCCCGACATTTCACAAGCAGTTGGTGTTGTTAGCAGGTATATGCATGACCCTGGTAAAGGTCATTGGCAAGCTGTGAAATGGATTCTACCGTACATTCATAATACTGTAGATGTTGGATTGGTTTATGAGTAGAAAGAATTTGGTCACTGTGTAGTTGAATATTGTGATTCTGACTACGCGGGCGATTTGGATAAGCGAAGATCAATGACTGGATATTTGTTCACTTTTGCAAAAGCTCCAGTCAGTTGGAAGTCTACCTTACAGTCAACAGTTGCTTTGTCTACAACAGAGGCAAAGTATATGGTGGTTACTGAAGCTGTGAAGGAGGCTATTTGGCTTCAAAGTTTGCTTGAAGATTTGGGAGTTAGTTAAGTATTTCATGGAAGAACGAAGCATATTGATGTTCACTATCACTTTTTGCGGGAGATTCTAGAAGATGGAACCGTTGTGTTGAAGAAGATCAATACGACGGAGAATCATGCAGATATGATGACCAAGTTAGTGACAGCTGTCAAGTTTGAACATTGTTTAGACTTGACCAACATTCTGCATATTTGAGTTGGCGCCTAGAGGCGCATTTAGGGGCACCGCCAACAATTGAGTTGGATTGAAAAGTCGAAGTGGGAGGACAATTAGTCAAGGTGGAGAATTGTTATATTTTGATTAATTTGTTATCCCACATCGGATATGTACCAAAGATGTGTAGGATCTTTTAAGTATAAATAGGTCCATTGCCTTTGAGTTACAATTGCACCTTATTATGAACTCTCCTATCTTAGAAGGAAATCCTTAATTAAAAAAATCTTAATTTGTGGGTTATTTAACCCTAGTTGTACTTTGTTGGTGAATTTAGTAAATTTGGCGTTGCGGTTGGCGGTTCCCGGAGACGTAGGCAATATTGGTCGAACTCTGTTATCAATTTTTGTGTTCTTTTTCTTTCTCGTCTTTTGTTTATTTGAGTTGGCTTATTTTCGTTAGTAGTAGTTCTTGCCATATTTGTTGTAGGGGTGTTTTTGTCTGCTGCGCTTGTTGTTCTACCGAAACATGTATGGCCTTCTTCTCCTTAGCTGCGGCTCTACTAATGAAAAATAAAATAAATTACTCCTCAATGCGTGGTTGATATGTGACCTCGGAATGATTTTTAAATGCCCAAAGTTTTTTTTTTTTTTTTTACCCAATTTCTACTTGTAAGGCTTCACATATTGGCCTTTTTATTTGTTTTAAATATATCCGTCCTTGGGCTGAAATCAGGCAAATACTGGGCCGAACTCGGGCTGATATTAAATACCCCATACTGTTCTACTCAAATTCTCGTTTGATGTCACGCCGTCTATAACAATACTCCAATATTTTGAAAATACCACAAAAGTATCATAGCACTTGAATCTATCTAAGAAATAAATAAGTCGAAAAACATATAAGTGTGACAAAATTAAGCATACAAAAATACGCTAATAAATATATAAAATACACATTTTTTCTGACCAATCACTTGGTAAATTAAATAAATAAGTACTGAGTACATATGCTCATTTATTGTCCTACGGTTAAGAGAACGCATAAAATTATGAGGTCTAGATTATTTACTTGGTCAGCATAAAATAATCTTATCCTCCATAGGTCATTCAATATACCCAAGATGTACTAGCGTACTTCATCAACCAAAGATCAACTGAATCAAAATCACACTACAACTTTCACAACAGATAGTTCAACTCCGTCTAGGTTGTGAATCATTTTATTTATATTTTACAAGGAATTGATAATATGATCTTTTTCTTCGACACATCGAACTACATTATCTACAATGTAAATAAGGGAACTAATGCTCGCATAAATAAATAAACTGCAAACACAAATACTTGACTAACACATAATTCTCATTCAAAATGGTATTGTCAGAAACTGAAAACCAAGCATTTACACTATAACCTAACAAAAAGAAGGTTGTATATGAAGGGCCAGCGTTGCCGCCCATCCATACGGGTAGAGTAACGAGATGAAGAGTGTTGGGTGAGGGTTCATCGGGATGATACCGTGAACCATTGAGGGGTCCAGATGCGTGACAACCACGTTCTCTAGCGCCATTTTGTTAACGTCTATTTTTGCCAACGGGGCCATAGAGGTGATGGCTATGTTATTATGTGGTGTTTTAAGATTTTTATGGTTGATTTACTGTGATTACAGGGAAAACAAAGAAAGATATATACCTCGTATATGTCGACGAATTAAGGCGCCTGCACCGGCGATTTTTATTGATAGAGTGGGCCGTTCTCGGGGCCTGTTTTGTGTACAGAGCCTTTAGAAAACTGGAAGAACACTAAACATAATGAAAAACTTAAAGAGAGAGAGACTACATCAGAACTTCTTCTATTTAGGGAGTATTTTCTGATGTATTTGCTGAGGATTTTTAAGGCCTCCGAACTCCTCCTTTTATAGAAGGGAGATCATTAAAATATTATTTCTTCATGTGGTGCTTCTGATTGAATGCATAGTGACACGTATTCAACAACATGAACAAGTGGCTTATCGTTTTTGGCGGCATGAACCATGGTTCAGGGCGATAACCCTTTTCCCAATGACTTAGGACCATGCTCGGATGAGATGAGATCGACTGAGGGCGACTTTCCTACTGGAAGAGATCGACATGTATGCCTGTAGCTGTGAACGAGGTCGACTGAATGATGTCTTCGTGATCTGTGTCTTTCCATTTGACTAGAGTACTCCTAGTCATCTGGACTTCGGTCAAGATGCACGCGTTGGACCGATGAAGGCACCATATTTGTTTTAGGTCCGACAAATTTGTGTATCAACACTAACCACTCGGCCTGGTCTACTAAACTATTTCGGGTGCTATATCAAATAATATTATTTACACTTTGATGTAGAAAATGTATATGCAAAATATTTATTTTTATTATTTTTATGTATATTCATATGATAAAAAGAAAATATATATAATTAAAATAAATTTATTGTTCAGCTCATCAATTGATTTGGTGACCCGACGACTGAACCGATGTGATCAAAGGCTTAGTCGATTGGGTTTAAAAACAATGATTAAAATGGAGAATTATAAATTTGAAAACCACCACAATATTTAATTCAAAAATTTAAAAAATAATAATAACAACAATAATCGCTGGCCACCCAACCCATCTCCTTTTCACACGCACAACACAGTTGACAGAAAAAACGAAAAAAATAAAGAAAGGAAAGGAAAATTTATAGATTATCACCACAATCCTAATCTCATCTTCCATGCCGTGTTTATTTTCTGTACATATATGTCCGCCATTTCGACCTTCTTCCATGTCTTCTTTCCCCTCCCTCTCTAGATTCATCCCCATTTCCTGAGGACATATTCCTCGTTCTCATCTGCCCTCCCCAAGTTCTCGGTGGTTCATCATTTTTTTTTTAATTGAGCCATGCGTAGAGGCAGAGCTGCGGCGGCGGATAACGGCGGCGAAGCTCGCGGATCTGGAGGATCCAAGGAGATCCGATACCGCGGTGTGAGGAAGAGGCCGTGGGGCAGATTTGCGGCCGAGATCAGGGACCCTTTCAAGAAGACGCGTGTCTGGCTCGGCACCTTCGACTCGGCCGAGGATGCCGCTCGCGCCTACGACGCCGCCGCTCGCTCCTTCCGTGGTCCCAAGGCAAAGACGAACTTCCCCTCGCCCCTTGACGGCGCCGTATTCCCCGAATTGAACCCCCAAAACCCTAATCAGGCGCAAATCAACGGTAGTGCTAACGATCGGTTCATGGATCCTGGGTATTACACCCAGGACCCGCAAATAATCGCGCAACAGCGGCCTACCTCTAGCGGCATGAGCAGCACCGTGGAATCTTTCAGTGGGCCGCGGCAAATTCGTTCCTTGCCGGCGCCGGCGCTTTTGCAGCAGCAGAGGAGGCATCCGCGCTCGCCGCCGATTGTTCCGGATGACTGCCGCAGCGATTGTGATTCCTCCTCATCCGTGGTTGATGATGCCGAATGTGACATCGCATCTTCTTCTTGTAAAAAGCCTTTCCTTTTTGATCTTAACATGCCGCCATCTCCCGTGGCCGGTGAAACTGCTGCTGATCTGGATGAACTCGCCTGCACGGCACTCCGGCTATGAGGTCTTTCCCTCCTCAGATGGCATAATTGAGCCTCATCGTTTGGAAGAAATTCATCCACCCCATTTGGTTAAACTACCCCCAACTTTACTTTTCACTGTTGTTTAGCTCTTTTACATTACTGTTTTTATTCTGCTAAAAAAAAGAGAACAAAAAAGGAAGAAATGAAACAAGATTTCTCATAAACAGGAGTGAAACACTGAGGGTGTCTTATGAAGAAGGAGTCTCTGTTGTATGAGATCTGTTGTTTGAGGAGAGTTTGCTTTTTTTTTTTTTTTATTTCNTTTAAACGTTGATGTTATCGATACTAGAGGATGCTATGGTTGATATTTAAGAATGGTGCTGACTTTCATTTGTATCATTTTAGATATACAAAGTGTGTTGTGAAGAATAAATTCTGTTCAGTTCACTTACTAGCTCTTGGGTTGTAAACATATATGTCATATAAATTCTCTCATGTTTATTGCAAGTTAGTCGACACCATATCACTAACCCCTTGTGAGAAATATTAGTTATCTTATGTAGTTACAGCTGCTTTACTAATCCCTTCAATGGGAATATTCGTTATGCCGGGTTAATGCATGTTTCTGTACGTGAACATTCACTTGTGTAGTTGTATAAATACCTTTGGTGCTGACCTGGGATACTAATATGAATGATATTGGGTTGTCTATTTGCCTTGTTAAATGATCTCTATCTGCTTTTCTGTTTAGTTGGGGTGATATTTTTGGATTTTTGTAATATGTTGCATGTATTAAGCAATGATATGACCTTGAGCATGTAAAAGCATTTTCTTTGTCCATGTTTGTTTACTTTTATCTCTTGAATTTGTCGCATGCAAGTGACACATGCCGTACTCGTCGTAAACCTACGTTGGTGTTTAAATAGGGTACATTAATGATATATTTGTATGTCGTTACAATTTTATGTTCTTTCTATTAATGGTCATCCATGCTTTCTATTGTTTCCTGAATGCTTAGCATCTAACTTCTGAGTTTTATCACAAGTTGTTTGCTAATAATGTTAGTGATGTGCTTTATCTAATAGTGTTTAGCCAACTGAATTTAGCATCCAATTTTACTTGTCACAGTTAACATTATATGAATCTGTTGTATGTTTTCCTGTCTTTTTTCAATTGCAGACGAGTGTTTAGCCATTCATAATGAATTTTATGCCGTACTTGCTTGAATATTCAAGATCCATATAATTTGCTGCATATGGTTTTGTAATCTCCCCTAATTTATTACCATTTTCATTTCCGATATTTCCGACAATGCCTGTTTTTCACTTTCCAATTTTTTGTTGCATTCTCTAGGCTTTGCAAGGAAGTTGTTTTAAGAAACTTCGTGCTTCCATCTACCAAGTTAAGTATGCTGGGAGGATTTAATGCCTAGAGTCTCTACTTTGTGAACACTACCTTATTATTTTTGTATGACTTTTTTGTTAGTCTTTTTTTTATTCGTTGATTAGTCACTTGTTAGCCGATTAAATTCTGGCACTATGCTTGTTGTATGAAGTAAAGCTTGTGCGAATTTCATTGACTGACAAAGTTTTTCAGCCTCCCGCTATTGTTTAGGTTTTTTGATGCTATGACTATTTCAGTTTTTTTTTTCTTTTTCCCATCTTTTACGTTTGTGCAGTCTTATTTTGTTTCTTTTGTATGGATAAATATGGTTGGCAGTTAATATCTTTGATCTTTTTCTGCATGATTTTACATTGTGTTGGTATGTTGAAATTACCTGCTGACGGTCAATTTGCAGTGTGAATATATATGTTCTATTGTGAAGTTCAATTTCCCAGCAAGTGGAGCTTCTTCATTTTCCCTCCAATTAGAATGTTATTGAGAGAATATCTTGTGATATTCTTATACGATAAATATGGCAATTGTATCTTGTTGATATGATATAGATTAGGTTGTATCAATTAGATGATATGGTAAATCTCGTAGATTAGGTCCTTTGATTTCTTTCCTTTCTTTCATCTCCTTTGGCTTGTATAAATACCTTGTAATCTTCATTGAGTTAAACAACAATTCAAGCTCTACATCATTCTCTCTATTTTTACATGGTATCAGAGAAGATTTTTTTTAAACTCTAATCTAAGCCGCTGCCCCCCCTCTCTCTTTTGTCGGCCATGGCTAACTCCTTGGATGCTAACTCTCCATACTATGTGCATCCCTCTGATCACCCCGGTCTTGTTTTTGTCATCCATCCTTTGTCTGACAATGGTGACAATTACTTTACCTGGAAGACATCTTTCCTCAATGCTCTTCGTTCCAAGAACAAATCAGGTTTCGTGGACGGCTCCATCTCTCCCGCTGATGCGGATTTTCCCGACTACAATAATTGGGTGCGCTGCAATGCCCTAGTCAAATCCTGGCTCATCAACTCCATTCATCAAAACCTTCAACCTATGGCGGCTCACATCGAATCTGCCGTTGATGTTTGGAACGACTTTGCTGAGCGCTTCACTCAAGGTATCGCCCCTCGTATTTATGAATTAAAGCGCACCATTGCTCTTCTCCAACAAGAAAAGACTTCCACTTCTGTTTATTACGGTAAACTTAAGAATGTTTGGAGTGAATTGCAAAGTCTTCGCCCATCTCCTGTTTGCACTTGTGGTGCTTGTTCTTGTGGTGCTGCTAATAAATTACGGACTCTTCAAGAAGAAGAAAAGGTATTTGATTTCCTCATGGGTCTCGATGACTCATACAAAATTGTCCGCTCTCAGATTCTCAGTGTCGAACCTATGCCCTCCCTTGGTCGCGCCTATGCTGTTGTCGCTCAGGACGAGAAGCAACGCTCTCTTGCTGATAATCGTCATCCTGTTGTTGAGGCCTCCAGTCTTCTTGCCAAAGCCCCTCAACCCGGCCGCGGGGCTACTCGTCGAGATGGTCGTCGCACTGGCCCCAACAAACTTCATTGCACTCATTGTCGGCGCTCCAATCATCTCGTTGAAAATTGTTGGGAGTTGCATGGTTACCCCGCCGGATGGAAGCCCCGCCAGAATGTCACCACCCCCGCTGCTCTCGCCGCTCCTGCCCAATACACCGCGGCTGACTCCGGCACTGCATCTCTCTCCGCGACAACGACGGCCGCCTCCCTGACCCCAGCCCAGCTGCAACAACTCTTTGCCATGCTTGGCACCCAGCCGCCTGCTGGTTCTTCAGCCGCCTCCACTGCACCTCCACCGTCGGCCTCCTCTACTAGTGGTAAGATACTTTGGGCAGCCGATTCTGGCGCCACTGATCACAGTACTCATATGATGCACTCCATAAT